TAGGACGCAGTATAGGGCTGTGGTATTGCCTCCTGCCTGATTTGAGAAGTTACCACAACATTTTCTTTGAAGAGATTTCTAACACTTGGACAGTATGTTATCTTATCTTCCCCTTTTGGTGAGACATTTGTCTGCAACTGCCTTCCAGCCCTTGTCATGGTGCCCTTCCCCTCCTCTTTTTCCTCATCTGAGTTCCTCTGCTTTGGTCCAAATGCCCTAATCTGGTGACACTGGTAATCAGGGATTTGTATGGGATCCACCACCCCAATTCAAATTTCTCTTTCCTCTTGCATTCCTTGACTTCCCAAGACTTATTTTTTGATTTTAAAGGTTATCTAGTGAACCACTGCACTCTGAAAGTAGTTTTCTGAAACCAAATAGTTTGGGGAATTTTTAAATAATTTAAGCATTACAAAACCCTTAAAGATGTTGTCTGAAGGATGAGTTCTTGCTTGAGAAAAAATAAATTCTGTACAGTTATACTACAGTGCAGCTCAGGAACTCAAAACCATCCTTCAAACTAAATGTCACAAAATTAGGTAAATATTACAGTGCCCACTTCTGTGCATTTCTATTACAAAATGTTTTGTAGGGCACTGCAGGCCTGACAAAGAGAAGAAAACACTAAAATTCAGGGGCCTGTGTGATTAATCAGTTTCCCCAACAAAGTTAGAGTTTTGCTCATGGGTTTCAAACCCTGTCCCTTCCTTTCATTGTTATGGTCATTGTACCTATTAACCAGTCATCTCAGAAAACAGAATTTAATAAAAACAAGTGTAGCAGTTGCCTGGTAGAAAATTGGAAGTTTACTAATCAAAAATATCACATTATGTCCAAGCTGAAGTCTTTGAAAAGCCCCATTAGACACAGCTATAGCATTTGATATACATAAAACAGTCTCTGACAGACATCTGATAATTGCAAATTTCTCCCTTCCCCTCATACACAAAGGTCACTTTTTTTTCTAATGAGCCATTCTCTGTTATAAAACCAATTAACATTTAACTGCATATAATTCATACTTTAAAACAACAATAAGGAAGGATATAAAGAAAGAGGGAGAAATCTAGACAACTGAAAGATGCAGCTTCCCTACTGGTATTTGTATGCAGTTTTCAAAGCTAAATCATGAAGACAAAGGGGAAAAAGAACCAAATCATCCGACCCATAATCTATATGAATCCTAAAATGAGATGTCAGCTGCCAATAGTGCCAGGAGAGGGGAGCTGATCAGAACCAGGTCAGAAAGACTGAGATGTACCATGCTGACTGAAGATAGCTGCAGATGCTTCAAAGCAGCCCCGATTTGCAGTCTCCAGAGGCACACTTTCTTTAATTAAAGATAGGAGAAGTGGGAAAATAAAAATCAGTAATAGAACAGTTTAGCCATGAAGTAGCTAACTAGCTGGCTTCCAAATGTACAATATCCAAAGGAAAGGCCACACAATGAAATCTGCTCTTCACTGGTAGCAAGATGCCAGAAATAAAAAGCCAAAGCCCTGAGCAGAAATAAGGGTGCAGTTTGGTAAGCAGTTCTTTTGGTGATGGCATAGTAGCTTCAGCAACACTCACTGTAGGGGATCTCGTTCTCATTCCCATGGAACGCCTTTCAGCAGCAGTGGGGGACTATGCATTGAGTCAGACAGGAAAAAGTTGGTAATTTTTCAGCACAGCTCAGATCACTACATTAATTTGCTTGATCTAGACATTTACAAGTTGATAATCAAATGCCTACTCTTGTGTCTGTTAAAATAATTGTAATTTATTCTTTTGATCTAGTCTGGTCCAGTCCTGCAAGGACAATATTGCCAAGTTTATCTGACACAGAAAGTGCCCCTACCTACCTGTGATTGTCTGTAGGCTTAGTCACAAAGCTACTCATTTTGAATATATTTGGGGAGAACAGGGGAAGCTGGTGGCATTAAGGTCTGCTATTACCAAGCTGGAAGCAGCAGTCTGGAAATAGGTGAAATAAGGTGCTAGTCAATGGAGAGCAAACTCTCAGAGCAGATGCAAAACCAAAGTCAAAGACTTAAGTCTTTGACTAAAGAACTGCACC